GCCACACCCGGCCATAGAGACGGATCCAAGCCGGATTCACGAAGAAGTAGGCGGAGTCGGCGCTTCACCTGCTGCACCTCAGCTTCTATGCGCCCATTGGATGGCCCCTCATCTCCTCCAGTCATGGTCTGGTAGAGCCCGAAGTGCCGCCACACCTGTTGAAATGTTCTTGACAAGAATGCACTTTCTCGATCAGTGTGAACTCTGATCATTCTGATTCCGAGAGCCCGGAATCTTGAGTACAGCTTCACGGCGACCTTGGCAACATCATGCTGACCACGGGACTCGAGAGGTTCAACCACGGTGACATTCTGGACGCCGACTGGGGAGCTGAGATCCTTGGCATACTCCTCCCATCGTTGGTTCAGGGCAGCAACTCGATCATCCGGTGGTTCTTCCGGCTCTGCATCATCAAGCGCTGGGAGAGGTTGATCCCGTTGGACATCTTCAGAGGAGGGTCCTTCAGGTTCTGTAGGACAATAATCATCCATGCCTGGGACTTCTCTGGAGACCCTTGGAAGTGGAACTGTGCCAACCATGATATACTTAGCCTTCACACCAAGGCCGACATCATCTCCTTCAGGAAGGGGGCCCAAAATGTCCAAGGAAAGACAGTACGCTGATCGATCCCCATTTGAGCGTCTGTGAGGAGCATCCACCCCCATGAGTTCAAGGCATTTTCTGCAGTCTCTTCGGTAAGGCTGATGTTGGTTGAGGACATGCTGTTTCCAGTCCTCCGCATTGAGCTTCTTCACCTCAGCCGGCACCTCACATGAGTGGATCTTTGGAAGGTTCTCCAGGTAGATCTTCAGTGACACCTTGATCGCACGAACCAAGCCATCAGCCCATGCAGACCACTCGCGAGACTGTGAAATGCGGGCACTCAATGACGTAGGTGACACTTCTCCCAAGCCCTCTCCGGCAATCCCGTGGAGGTCCATCATCCCTGGCATATTGGCGATCATCAAACAGGTCGGCTTCCGCCGTACGTGCCCCAAAGGTCCTTGATCCAGGATGACATAGTCGGCGTTCATGACTTCTGCCGCCCTCTGGACCTCCTCAAAGTTCCAAAACGATGGCATGTCATGCCGTTCAGCTTCTTCTTGACAATAGTCCCAGGGATCACGAGGTGACTCCATGAGAAAGGCAGGCGGAGTGGAACAGGTGTTGGCTTCACTGGCCATCATCCAAAGACCAATCTGCTTCAACATCAGTGCCGTGTCACCCTCAACAAGGTCGACCTCATAGGACAGCAAATTGGGCAGTCCAAACCTTCTTTCGTTCCGGCCTCTCACAGGGCGGGGACCTGGATCTCGATGACGTAGGCGAGAAACAGATCGGCATGGCGGACCACCAATTACTCCAACCACCTTTCCCTGTCGAGCAAGATGGCACAGGTAGCCCCAAACTCCAGCAGCGTGCAGATCGTATTGAGCCCCCTGGGAGACGTCGACCGTGATCACCTCAAAGTCACCCCACGACTCCTTGGTCCACTTCTTGGCGTCCTTTCCAGAGAAAAGGTGAATGATGACACCTCGCGCCAGTTGGTGCCTTCGCCTCTGTCGCCGGTTCCATGGGCAGGACGATGCATCCCAGGTTGATTGGCCCTTCATGTACTTGATCACTGACTCCGGAACGTTGGGAAAGCGCTCCTTCCACCATTGAAGAAAGCCACCATCTCCATCTCCAATCCCGGCGTCATCGACCTCCATACGATCCAACAGCTTCAGAGCTTCAGCCTCAGTCATAACGGGGCACCCATTTCGCAAGGCACATGTGATTCGGCCGTCAACTGGATGGAAGATCTTGACCCCCGCAGATGTCCAGGTGAGGCTGTACCCCAAAGAGACCAATCGATGAAGAGGGACGATAGCTTCCACCGGCTCCATGCTCAACAGAGTCGAGTGTTCTGGCACTCGATACAGTGTCGCACTTCCAGCTGCCAATTCCACTTGAACTGGTTGTAGTCGATCAAGTTCAGACGGCTTCGCCCGCCTGAGACCATGGGTCGCTCCGCCATCAATGAGGGCCACAGGTTTCTCCTTGAGGTCAGCGTACACGGTGAGCTCCTTGATCCTGATGGCTTTCATAGCACGGAGAGACTTGAGGAGAGTCGTAGCCTCATTCAAGAGATCAGCAGTTGCATTCCTCCCAGTAGGCGCCGATGGAGCGCCCTCAGCTGACGAAGATGCAGTGGTCTTAGACTGAAGGGCTTCCTGGGAATCTTCCTTCTCCGGACTGGATCTCTCTGACTTAGGCCCATCCGTCTTCGTGGATTCCTTCCCTCCCTTCACCTTCGAAATCTTCTTTCCATCATTCTTGGTGTCGGACTTGGGCTTGTGCGGGCACTCCTTCTTGATGTGCTGCGTACTTCCGCAACCAAAGCACCTGCCCTTCATGTCATTGGTGTCGTGGCCAAACGTGCACGAGGAGCCACGGCGACATCCATCCTCTGACTTCCAAAACTTGCAAGGAAGTTTCCCATCTCCCTTTCCTTCTCCGTCGCCTGAACTGCCGGACTGCTGGAAGGCCTTGAGAGCGGCTTGAACAGGCTGAGAATTGGCTCCAGATGCCTGTGCCGAAGACGACGAGGTAGTTGCTGCTGCCGCCTTTGGCCCACTAGTGAGAGCCATTTCCTCGAGCTCAGCCTGCACATACTCTGCCAGCTCCTGCACAGATTCCATCGTGGCCAGGTAGTCAACCTTCAGCTCCTGCCTGACATTGGCGATTCGGAAAGCCACTTGTGCCCCACCCAACTTCGCCACTCCATCGATCATGCGTTGAACGGTGACCATCAGCACGATCGGGTCAGGGAGCGACACACGAAGTTCCTCAGCTCTGCTCAACCACCTGCGCCAGAGACGTACCTGGGTCAGAAGATCATGCAGCCCTGCAGGAAACTTGGTCTCCACCAGATTCTTCAGCAGCTGAGTCTTTTCTGCACCTCCACCTGGTTGGTAAGTCACATGCAACTTGTACAAAATCTGCACGACCGACAGGTTCCGGGCCGAAACAAGGTCTCTCCGCAGCTGATCTGGAAGAGCAGCAAGAAGCATAGCCACACCCCGTTGCTCGATCCTCTGAAAAGCTGTCGCCACCACAATCTCCGGCTTGGCTCGAAGACGTTCGAGAGGTGATAGAGTCAACCACCTTGCATAGCACTCCTGGGCTGCCATCAGTGATTCTTGCCACCATGACTTGGCCGAACAGGATATGTCTGCCATCAAAGGAAACACCATGGTGAGCCAGTCGCCAAAAACAATGGATGCTCCATCCGTATGTGGCAAGGGCAACGCTGGCAATTCAAGGTTCCTGAGCGCCTCTGTGAGCGACGCCTGTGTGGCACTGTCCCCAATCCTCATGACTTTATGGGGGGTACTCAACACACGATCATCAGGAGGTTCACGAGAAGGTTCTGGAGGTTGACCCAAACCAGGAGGACATTCGGGTGCACCACGTGGACCAGGTTCAGGGTTCCCACTGGACGCTGTCTTGAATGACACACTATCACCAGAATCTCTTCCACCCGTGAGTCGTCGAACTTCTTTCTCGAACTGCTCCTGGGCATCCTTCAAAATTCTCAACCTCAATACTTCTATCTCATCTTGGGGCGTTGGAGACTGAGCGACATCACGCGGTCGAGGATCACTGCTTGGGGTCTGTCTCACCTCCACCTGACGAGAGCTCGGCGGATCTTGATCACGACGTTGACCCTCATGACCATGACCTCCCCCATCACCCACAGCCGAGGCACGTGATGCAGCATCTCGAACTGCCGGACTCCAAAACGGGTTGACTGGTGGATCATCTCTTCGTGAAGGGGTTTGAGCAGCTGCACTGCCATACTCCAATGTCCTTGGAGCCATACCTCCACCTTGACCTCCAGTCTCAGGGATCGCACCCGAAAGAAAACCTCCTTGGAGTGCAGGAGCATTGCTAGGATCAAGAGGACCTAATAGACCTTGACCTCCATGGCCTCGTCCTAGTGCGTCATGAAGAGCTTGATAACTTCGTTGAAACGCTTCTTGAAGTGCTCCCAGGTTGATCACGTTGTTCCCAACTCCAGCCTGAGAAGCATACGGAGTCACGCCATCACCTCCATGACCTCCTTGCCGTTGAACAGGGGCGGAACCAGCAGCCGCAGTCGAAGAAATCTCCCGCTGAGTCTCACGAACCTGGGGAAGCGCTGGAGCAAAGGACACAGGTGGACCTCGAGCACCATTTCCAGTCGACACCGAGGCGATCCTCATTCCTGAATCCACCGACCGAGCCCGGCGCTGCACCTCCTCTTCGATGAGCGCGTCCAAGCGTCGATCAGCCTCTCCCACTTCCAACTGCCCCGAGCTCGGTCCAGCATCAGCGGATCTTCTATCAGCAGCCGCACCAGCACCACCAGTCGTCGCCGCCCCAGAAGCCACCCGTCGCCGGCGCTGACTGGTCGACATGGCGGCCAACGACCCAGCTCTCCTTCAACAATGGAGATCACTGAGGTGGACTTGGGCTCATAACCTGAGCGTGTTTGAACCTGACCTTCAAGCCACAGCAAAAACCAGGGCAGCTGCGGCTTTTCTTGAGCCATCATTCAGGTCGGTTGTTGGCATCTTTCATGCCTCAAGTCATGGCAACTTCATGCCTCACATCTATGCGAAAAACGCAAACCACAGAATCAACCTCTACATAATAGACGGTTCAATCCATATTCAAAACACTCATTTCTGCCAAGAGCCTCTAGGGGCTCGAGCGGGTGGCTTTTCTTTACCAGCACACTTAGGGGGTGTTGCCTTTGGGCGTTTTCGGGTGGATTTACCTTGCCCTGGGCCTCCAAGGAAGGTGGGACGGGACGGACGGGGGGGGGCCAGGACGGTCCAGTCATACCGAACCGTTGAGGTACGACTGGAGATGTAGGGTTTGTGGTTTTGAACCATGCTTCAATGGGGATACACAAGTACCCGTGGTAGTTGGAAGCCTTGGGCCTTGGGCTGCTGACATCCCTCCACAAGGCAATGAAGAGCCATGGACTCTGGCGCCCGCGGATCTTCAGCTACCCGGCCAAGGTCATCGTTTGTTATGGTGACCTGGTGTTTGCTTTTTTGGGGGGGTGATATCAGTGAGATGAGCGCATGGATGAGCGCATGGATGTTTTCCCAAACTTGAATCGCCTGGGCGGGAGAAACCTTTTGCTCCAGTTCCACAGTCAGGACGGATTGGACCGCCACTCAAGGGACCTGACTGACCTGACCGGTTCAGCGCTTGAAGCGCGAAGCTGTCGGAGGTCGGAGGTTCTGGGAGCTGTTGGGTCGACTGAAGGAAGATTGGATTGACTGAAGGACCTGTAATTGGATTGAAGATGTCAATATATCCTTTTTTCATCTTAAAATATTCGCCAGGCTGATTGTCTTGCCCTACGCGCGACCCACGGACGAGCAGCAGCTGCAGCTGCGGCGGGCCGTGGAGGAGGGCCTCGACATGGAGCTGGAGGAACTTCTGGAGGTGCGGCAAATGGATCGGTACAACAGCAAGCTGTGGTTGGTCGCCGTATGTCGCCGTTCTCTTTAGAAATCTTTAGAATGATATCCCTTAGTCGCCTTAGTCCCATCCTTGATCCAGGACCATCCGGCGAAGTCCTGCGTTTGGCCCCAGTGTCCATCTTCGGGACCGACCCCACTGGCGACAGGACTCCAAACGGCTAGCCTCGGGATCGACACAGGTCACGAGTGGGGGAAGCTGGTGGGTCCGACCTAGGGATCCACATACTGTCTCAGAAGGTACGACTGAGCCCTCCAAGCCTACATAAATAGTCTCCAATCACCTGAGAAGGTACGACTGGATCCCTATATATGGTAATTAATCCAACCAGGCAGGAGATCACGGAACCGGAAGATCCAGATGGATCGTTTGAGAGGTCAGTCACGACCATCGACCATCGACCAGCGATGCGTTCCGTCAGCCACCGGATTTTTTCTGGTCAGTCGACGTCAGTCACAAAAGTGCACAACCTGGTTTCGTGCTTGGGGATGGAACAGCATGTTTGCATGTTGTGTTAGTTTTAGTATCTATTCCCTACACAAAAAAGACAACACGTTTAATATCATTGTCTCAGAGAGCCTACAAAAAGAAACCTGGGCCCTGGTTTCCATCTCGTAGGTACCCATTCACCCAGACTACGAGATGGAAGACAAGTACAAGCCCTTGTGGATCTCTTGTGCTGAAGGCCACTACGACTGCCGCTGGGCCGGAAAAGGTGTACTTCAAGGCGTCAACTGAGGCGTCTTCGGGGCACCTAACTCCGCTCAAGTGCAGGCAATCTGTAAGCTCTTGGAACTTGCATTCATCATCTCTGGCATATATAATATACGTACTGCCTGCAGATGAAGTTGCAATCGAAAGGAGAACGTGATACCACCAGTCGTCCCCAACCAAAACCGATGCGACCTGGCGAACCCAACCCGCCACTCCACATCCGCGACGCTCGCCCAGCCCCGAACGCCGGCAGAGGTGCCCAAGTGCTCCTGGAGGCCAAAGCGAACATCAACAAGGCCTGTGACCTCGGGCATTCACCTCTGTGGGTTTCTTGGCTCCGAATACCCCTGGCGGTTGAAACCACCACTCCTATTCGGTCGTTGGACGGAGGACGGTGGTTTCACGGCGTTGTTTGAAACGCGGCGTTCACGTGCTTGGCGTTTCGTGGTGCTTCGGAGTCTTGGCATTTCAACACCCCAGGCCTCTTCAGAGGTGGCCGGCCATGTCTGGGGGGGTTTTGTTATACATTGCGATGATCACCGTGGCACGGCACGGTCATGTTTAATGTCTTATATGTTTATTTATGTTATGGATAGGCCCCTTCCCCCGTGCCTGAAGCGGTTTCACGGGTTTTGAACGCCCACCTGTTTGGTAGACTGTTTGGTATTCGGTCACAGGGTCATCCTTGTGGGGAAAAAGCATCCACGTCCATGATTCTACACGGAAATGTAACCTTTTGGAGTCCTCCAAGTAAGTCTGGGACCTTGGAAGTTGCTTTCCACACCTCAGATTGACAAGGGAAACGGGAAACGGGAGAAGTACCTATAGCGGTTCCTGTTTGGATGTCCAGAGACCCTATACTGTATACAGCTAGTCCAGCCAGGATAGCCTGAGTTCGGAAGCAGCTGGTCTAGCTTTTTGATCTGCTTTGGTTTGCAGATCTTTGGAACACGGGGAAGACCCGAGGGGTTGCACCGGCTTCTGTGAACAGCGCAGACTACCTGAGAAGTCAAGCTACCAGGCTCAACTCGCGGGCGACCCGCCAAATCCTCACATCCTTCCACCTCCTTTCGCGCTGGCGCTCACTTCGTTCCCTCGCCGAGGTGGCCTGTGAACGGGGTCACATGGACGTGGCACGCTTGCTGCTGGACCACGGGGCCGACAAAGATCAGAGGTGCCTCGGCGGAAACCGCCGAGCGTCGGCGGTTTCGTGCTGCGCTGCTTGCCCGTGGCGTGGAGACGACACATTCCGACCCATCGTCGGAGCCCGTGCCGGGTCACCGGTACGGTGGTTTCGCCCCAGGGCAATCTCCAGACAGGCACCCTGACATGAAGGTCCAGGTATAGAGAATACTAAATAATGGACTGGTTGAGGAGAATTGGATTGGAAGGTCTTTGAGGTGAAAGCAAGACTGCTTCTATCTTTGACCCACTGACAAGCAATTTCCGTAAGTGAGTTGAAACCATTTGATAGTCTAATTCATCTTATAATCTATGGTGTATTTAACATATTAGACTTGAAAAACATATTGGTTTTGTAGCTGTGAGCCCAAACTGGATTTCATAGAAACCTATGCACTCCATACATGTTGTTATATAGTTTGTTGTTGGTTTAGGTTGGTTGGTTGGGTTGATGCTTGATGAGCTGAGTCAATTAGATTCGGATTCACACTTTGTGGGATTTTAAAGCAGAAAGTCGATCGCTTTGTTTTGATGGTTGGTTGAAAATCCTTCTAGCAACCCTCTGTGTACAATGGGCAACAAGATTTTCTTGGCTTCCATGGCTTAGTTTCACACTGCTAAATTGAACAATGTGAGGGAGCAAATGATCTAGCATAGTGATTTGTCAAGAACTGATCTGAAGTGGGGTTCAAAAAATATTGCAAAGGATGTGAGCAACCAAAAAGGTCGTTGATGAAAGTATCACATCGGAGGTCCTAGGGCCATGAAACCTGCATGGGCGATATACAACACTGTCATATGCTTGTGGACTTTATCGGAAACACTGGAAAATGTTGCGGGGAAGAACCAAAGGCGATAAACATTTTGTGATAGAATAAATATGGCCGTTCGCTCATGCGCAGTTAAGATATTTAGTGTTGTAGTGATTTGAGAACATCTCAAGCTCTTAAAATGATCGCTAGCGTTAGTGACACTTGTAACAAGCTTTTGAACTCTCTGGAGCAGCCTAAAAGATTTGCTGTATATAAGAAAAACTTTTGCGGAACATAACTTTTTGAGTGATCCTGAGGAATCCTAAGTTTACTACACAATTCGCTAGCGTTAGTGAATGGTTCAAGAGGTTGAGGAAATCTCAAGCCCTTACAGCACTAAATATCTTGAAAGCGGCTTGTCATTAATATTTTTTTAACAGGTTCTGAGACTCACGACTGCAGCCTCCTTTCATTTTTAGATGGTGACAGGGTTCCACAACTCATTCCCCACCCCAACCAACCTAAACCACAACAAACCAACAACATGTATGGAGTGCGGAAGTTTCTATGAAATCCAGTTTGGGTCCACAGCTACAAAACCAATATGTTGTTCAAATCAAATATTCAAATATGTTAAATACACCACAGTAACTCAACCAGTATTCATTATCATGTACAGTATCTTCTGCAATCCTTGTCACGTTGATTCCGCGCTCTCAGGAATATCTATGGCAAGTCACCCTTGTGGCATGCCTGCGTCAGTGGAAACTGCAGGGTTGCTGAACTTCTTTTGCAGGCGGGATGGGCCTACTGCATGTGCAGTCGTACTACCCATGCAGTCAGTGGAGAATGGATGATATAAGGATGGATTAGGGAAACCTCACCAAAAGCGGACCGAGAGCCCATGCGGCCGCATGCGGCCGGGATACGATTCCAGACCGCATGGTGGACGGGAGACCAGTCCTTCTTTCGACTTTGTGAGCTTCGATGAGGTGGATATACCGGGATTGGCACATAGACCAAGAACATATGCCCGGACTAATTGGTCATGTCCGGACTCATTTGCTATGTTCATTAGTGGCTGACTGTCAGGTTCCCGCATGGTAGAGATGGACAGCGGCAGGACGAGTCGATCGGCCCGTCGCGGTCGCTGTCGCATGCTGTCGCACCGTCGCCCGGGCGAGGTGATCCGTGCGGTCGAGGTGCACCCAGGGCCGGTTTTGTTAGGTCAAAGAAACCAAAGAAACCGCACCTCAGACACTGTTTCCCAAGCAGTCCCATGGACGGACTGCCGAGTAGGAAACGGCCAGGGGTGGTGCCAGAGGGGTCTGGCTGTTTCTCGGCAGTCCGTCCTGGCAGTCCCGTGGAGTGTTTGGGATGAGGATGTTTTTTGCCTACTTCGAGTGCTTCGACATACCTGGACCTTCAAAGGGACTATTCCAATTCACAGGTAGGGTAGGGATGTGTAGGGTAGTCGATTGAAGACCTCTTACGGCAATTGCTGGTCAACGTCATGAATCGATTATAAACCAGGACCTTCCTTCCCAGTGACCTTTTTTGGAGTCCCAGCCAGTGACCGTCTGACACTAGCTTGTGACCTCAAGCCCCAGAGACCTTCAGTTCGGTCACTGGGAACTGATTGTTGATGCAGCAAGTGATCAGTCCCAGCAGTCACAAAGGGGTGCGATCCATGGAGGTAGTCGGGGTGCCCAGCTACTCCACTCACGTAAGAGGACGTTTCACACCACCCCAACATGTGAGTCCTGGTCAAAAAAGTCTTTCAGGAACGGATTGGGACGCTCGGTCTTTTTCAGTCCGCCAGGCTGCTGCTGATCTGGAGCAACGTGATCAAGGCCGTTCGCATTTGAGAGCTGCCTGTGACTTTGGGCACGTTCAGGTGGGACGGGGGCCCGTCTCGCCCGGTGGGAGCTTTTTTCTTTTCACGAGGTTCCCAGTTCCGGTTCCTGGGTGAATTCCTGTAGGCTGGCGACCAACAGGTTTTTATGTTTGTTGCTTTTGATGGGTGTCCAAGGAACAGGACATTCAAAGAACTTTTGTTTGAATTAGCCAGTTCTTCTTGTTTGCAAATCCATAGTTCCTGCATGTTCCTACCCAGATGCTCACGGATCCGAACGTAGGACCGAACCCAGTTGGGTGTCAAAGGCAAGACCGGAAGGCGTTTGACTTTGAGAACACCGGTGGCTGCACGTAACCCGCAGGTGGCCAGGTTGCTCTTGGAGGCCGGTGCTCGGGTGGAAGAGGAGTTGAGGTCTCAACAGCGCCCGCTGCTCCCACGGTACCACCACGGTTCCATGACGTGCTTTTCACGCACCAAGGGAGTTGAAGAGAAAAAGGGGCAGCGGCTCGTGAGCGGCAGTTGCGGCAGCGTGGGGTGACCTTGCTTGGTGTATAGACCAGAGAAGGACTGATTATGGTGTTGCTTTAGGGTCGTTGTGTTTTTCCCGCTTATCCAAGAGCATATCCAAGAGGAAAAAAAGGAGTAAGATTGGTTGCTGAGTGATTCTGTGGATTTCAACAATTTCAAGTAATTACAATATAATAAACTATGGGGGAAGCGAAGATTGGACCTTCAAAGTGACCAAAGATGTCCTGCGCCGGGATCACCTTCGAAATCCTTGTCGCCGATCGATCATGGTTATGTCCTTCGTCACAATCTCTGATTGGAAGCTTTAAATGCGAACGGGCTCAAAACCAGGGCTCAGGTGGTTAGAGACCACCCCTAACCAATTGTTTTGCCATCCAACACTCGACAATCATGGAAGTGGATGACCATTTTCTAAACACCAAACAGATCCAAACAGGAGGTGACCTCCACTTCCGTATTTGTTGGAGGGAGGGTAAGCATCCTTTGCAGTTGGTTGCTTGGCGGAGCTTGCGACTGCAGGAGCCCAAGAAGTCCCGTAAGGAGCGCAAAGACGTCGCGAAGGAAGAGGAGGAGCGAAAAGGGTTGCTGATCGACGTATCAACCCCTAGGGATCCGGTCGTACCGAACCTCAGAAGGTACGACTGGACCCTCAAAACCCACATAAGAGTATCTCCAATCACCTTCTGAGATGGCCCTAGGGAACGAGCTCCAAAAACTCAAATTTCGCAGGAGTACACGACATGTTGACCAGTTGTAAGACCCAGTGCCATGCCCAAACACGACTTGGGAATGGCAGATGACTCTCGATGAGTCATGGGGCCGGCTTTCAGAGTGGTCTGTTTGACAGGCATCTATTCCGCGAAGTTTTTGGGTCACTTGATGAACCTGGAGTTGCATTCTTTTCATGAAGCACCTTGGAGGTGGAGTTCACCACCTGCTGGGTCTTCATCCGAACTCGGGGGCTTCCGGGGCCACACGTGCACATATTACGCTGCAGGGCAAGCTTGAGCCTATAAAGGACCACGTCGGGGCACCCGAAGCAAAAAGCAAAAGAGGCATACCATTTGGCCAAGAGTTCCATGGGACTGCCGTAGGACTGCCGATCAGGCCAGGGGTGGTGCCAGAGGGGTATTGATCGGCATCTATAATACGGTATAGTTCCATGGAGTGTTTGGGAATTTGCCAGGAGTTCCATGTCAGGGTGTCGGCAGTTCGCAGTTCTGAAAAAAAAAAACATGTAAAAACTAGCTCAACAAGCGGCTGCCTCGGCACAAAGGACCCTCCACTCACCTGTTTTTGCACCTTCTCCTCAGGTTCGCTACGAAAACGAATCCCGACTGGCTGGCACCTACCAGGACCTTCCCAGTAATTAACTGACCTCATTCCGGGATCTGAAAAGGTCACTGGGAAGGCCCTGGTACATGTCTCAGTGTCACCCTGAGAAACCGTACCTGAGGTTCGGAACGAAAACGGATCCTGGATGGGAGGGTGGTGTTATGATTTGGATGTTCAACCTGATCATCTCTAGTACAGATGATTCCTGGATCTTATGGGGTGTGCCGTGTGGGTGCGTTGAGCCGGGTGGTGCCCAGGAACCCAAGAGAGAAAAGGAAGCAGAGGAGGCGGCCCCCGGCGGTACGGCGGAGGCGGCCGCCCACTTGGGTCGCTCATGGTGGTGAAGATCCGTCCTCATGCAGCTGCGAAGCGGAGCTCGGGGAGACCAAACGCTCAGAGCTTCTCCACCGATACGGGCTTTCTAGGCCGGTTCCCAAACCATCTAGTTTGTTGGTGAAGGAGCCCGGATTCTGAGGGAGAATCACCAAACAATCATCAAAACAATCGCCTTCACATGTGGACTGACGTCTGGGGCCTGTAGTCCACACAACACGGACGTCGGTGTTTGGGACGGCTCCAGCTTGGCAGTCCGACTTCGCGGTCCGACTCGTCCATGTCGCACAAAATCGTTGCGGAAGGCCTGTCGGGGTGCCCAAGTCATGAGGAGTTTGGTGTTCGCGTTTTTTTTTGGTTTAATGAGGTACAAGATGACTAAACTGCACGGTGCGGTACATGAAAGTGAATTCGGTACAAGATGTTTTCCAGCCAGTGGCCCCCCAGTGGCACGGTCGAACATGTTTACTTGGATGCGGGTGTGTATTTCTTCACCGGGAGACCCCGTGGGCCCGAGAACAGGGTAGACGACTGGTAGACAACGTCAGTCCAAGACTCCCTGCTTTTCAGGGGGTCGAACTGGCCATAATACCAACAGAGGTTTTTCATGACCCGAGTTCGTTCGACTATTTAAGTCACTGGCTACCTCTCTTGGTATGCGTTGGTATGTTCCACTGTTGCGGTTTCAGAAGCTGATGACCCTTTACTTTCTTCCAATACGGGTCGACTCTGAGTCGAGCCGGCGTATTTGTTCAACCCAAGCCAGTCCAACGGTTTCCATGCCGTAGAAGCCTCATGAAAACGTGTAATGGTATTTCAATTGGGGAGATCACCAAGCAAGAGGATTTGGGTCTATATTCCAGAGCGTTTGTGGGAGGTTTCCATATATTGTAATGTTTAAAATATTATATTATAATTCTGTTTTGATAGACACCTATTTGAGATAACAGCTTGGCTTCCTGTGTTTGGAAGAGTTCTTGCTCACGCAGAAGGGCTACGGTGGTCGATCGTGGACGAAACCATCAGTCTCGTGGTCGTCGTTCAGAGCAGACTCCTTTTTGGCAAAGGCAAAGACAAGTCCGTCCCATCTATGGGACTGGAAACGTTACCCCACCATGGGTCATGTTCATGGATGTGTGCACTCTTGGGTTATCAAAACCCACTGCAAAGAGGTTTCATCATCCAAATAGGGGATATCAATCAACAACAGTCTACATTAATTTAAATATGGTGTAACGTTTCCAGTCCCGTGGATGGTCTGCGAGGTGTCAGCAGAGCCTTGCGTGGCGTGGTTTTACGCCCTGGCCCCCAGGAAGACCCCTCGTTGTTGACCACCTCTGGCCTGATATATTCCAGCTACAGACAGGTCGTAGGTCGTGTAACTCACGTCATTTGCGAAACCGTCGCGGTGTCTGTAGCAGAACCTGGAGCCCGAGACTAGTAGGGTTGACCATCCCCAGTAACGAAGATCAAAGCGCGGGGCTGGCGCAAGATTCGGACCCTGAATGGATGCGTTGGGAGTCCATCGGACCCGGAGGAACCAAAGAAGAAAAAGAAAGAGCGGAAAGACAAGGAGGAAGAAGAAGAAAGAGAGGTGCATGTCGGGGCATTTGAGGTAGCAAGGGACTTGAAGCGTATTCATCCAATCATGGAGAACTAGAGGCTTGAGGTCTTGAGGTGTAGTCTTTGTTTGTTTCGGGTTTGATCCACTCGCCATCCAATACTAATTAATGAAGCAATCTGCATGATGAAGCCCTGGTTTAGGCCACTGGCAGAGCAATCACCACGAGCCAGCCATGGCTCCAACACGTGCCCTGCCGTGCAACCGATGCCGACAGTGCAGCGTTGCAGTCAACATCCCCAAAAACTGCAGAGTTTGTGTTCCAGGCAATCCATTGGCGTTTTGTGACACTTATTCCAGCAAATCCATTGGATTTTTCCAGAACTATAATCAATATGTTAATCTTTTGAACATCCATTGGCTGTTTTGTGACAAATCAAACAAATCCATCGGCTACTGGCTACTAGTTATGGAACAAATGCCGAACAGATTTGTTTTCTGTGTTGCCCATATGGGGAAATTGCATTTGGCAACAAGTCAGGTCTGGCTGCAGAAAACCAACCGGTTGAATGCGTTGAATACGCTTGCCACTCTTCAATCCAAACCACAGGAGATGTGTAGAAACACATTGGGTGAGGTGAACCCTTTGAGACCAAGAAACCTACGCAACCGACGCAAACCAAGCCTGTTGGATCCTGTTGGTCAATTCGGTACGGTACAGTTCAGCATTCCGTTCGATGCTGCCTGCCGATCCGTTCGTTTTTGCAGGTGAAGAAACCCAAAGAAAAGGAAAGAGAGCGATTGGGGAACCCAGTGAAAAGTCGTGCGCGTTTGTTTCAACGCCTGGTTCATGGCACAAAGAGAGCTTTATGCAGATTGGGGGATGTACAATCACAAGCGGCAATGAGAAATAGAGTGAGTTGCATAGAAACATCAAGAGTGTATGCTATAGGCTAGTGTTTGTTCCTGGGTTCTTAGTCACGCCACAACTGTTCAGTGGCCGCATGTCAACTAGATACACTGTGAGAAGTAGCAGGTTCCCCACTTAATCCAATGTGGGGAGCGGTGAACGTTGATCCTGTGGGCGGACATGAGCCGCCGGGAGCGCCCGCCAAGCCGTCCAAAACATGGTGTTGTTGTAGCAAAATCGTGGTTTTTGTGTGTGAATCGAACCAGTATGTTGCATGGTTCCTTTTGGGCCGCTGGTATGTACTTGAACCGGAGGACCCCTCCAACCATTGGGTTTCAGTTGATGGTTCCTTTTCCGGCCGATTGGACCACTTGGAATTCTTTCATGTGAAGAGAGATCTTCAATGCCTGTTTGGTTCAGTCTTGTGGGCACTGAAGAAATTGAGTTCCTGTATACTCTTTGTCACAGCTTTTCACTACCAAGCAGCTGAGGAAGCAAGAGCAGCCGAAGAAGCTGCAGCAGGAGCCAACCTTATTGAACGAATGTTCCCGTGCCACAGAATAAGACACTATATTCTTGCTTTGCCTGGCTTTTGTATACATTTTTGTATGACAGTGAAATCCCACATTTGTTCCAGACAACCTTTCGGTCTCAAGACTGCCAAGTATACTTGGCAGAAACCAAGACACATCAACAGTGGAGCCCAGCCTCATCAGTCCGCCGAAGCCTTTGCCACCCTTCCGCTCTCCGCTGCCAGGAGTAAACGAAAGGCGCGCAGCTCTCGGCGCACCCGTCGCCGCACCGCAGCGAGCAACGTCTCGGCGTCAGTCGGCGTCAGTCGGTGGTTCAGCGGATTCTCACAGTGCCATTC